GTCACGAGAGTATAATCGTGATAATTTATATTTTTTAAATGCCAGGAATGCATAAAATAGACCCATCAGAATTTTTAGTAATTGTAGAAATAATATCTTTTATTATTATCTCTATTTAGCTTTATTACTTGTATTATATGGTTACAGGTTAGCTTCCGAAATCAATTTTACTGAAATACCATTTAACCGAAGTCAAAATACTGATATCCCATTTTGCTAACAAGACAATTCCGAAAGTCTCATTTTACCGAAATATCGTTTAATAGATAATAAATTTTACTGATAAGTCATTTATCTGCAATTACCATTTCACCGAATATTAAAAAGATGAATGTCTATCTACTTTACTGACATCCCATTTGTCCGTAAGCTCTTTTACCGAAGGATATTTTACCGAAATTTTCGGCTATTTTTATAAATTCTGGGTCATCTGATAACCCCAAAAAAAGGTATAAACGACAACCAGCCATTTTACCGACAAAGTTAGCCTGGTTTATGTTGAGTTGGACTGATTTATGCAAATTTGTTCAATCGAGAAGACGTCTTGTTTGGAATTTATTCTTTAGGGGAAATAAATCAAAATATTTGTCGGTGAAAATGCTTCAGAAAAAATTTTGTCTGGGGGAACAGGAGTTTGGAGAAAGAGTATTGTCGGTGAAAAAGTCTGTCAAATAAAATTTTTAAGAAATTCAGGTTGTCGGGGAATTGGTTGTGTCGAAAAAGAAAAAAAATTCAGTAAAAAATTTCTGTCAGAAATAAGTCTTGCCGGGAAAAAGGGATATCGGAATCATGGGGTCGGGGAAATGGTATTTCGGGAATGTAAGGTTACGTACGTTGTGAGAAGTGAAGTGGACCCCACTAGCCCTATTTCTAGGTTATAGACAGTAATAGTCCCGAATTATTGGCTTAAGTAGTACAAATTGCTAAGAATTCCGGTTATCTGGTAGATATTGGGAATTCCACTGGATAACGAAAATAAGTTGTTATTCTCGTTATCTATTAGATAGCAAAAATAACGTAGCATTCAAAGAATTCTTCTATATGTAAAAACAATTATATAAGGAGCGCCATTTCTTTCAATAAAAAAACAACTCTACGGAGGTTTAAAATTCTAAACCCAATAACTTCGAAGCAATTACAGTAGAAGTTACTTCTCTTTTCCATTTGATCCTAATAAATCGTCAAAATAACCTTTGTCACTGTCCCAGTATTGTAAATTAAACCATTACTTCGTAGTATAGTAGAGTCTAACCTTCGAAATCCGAGTAGATGCGTTAACTCTAAGTTCTTTAAGAATAAAAACCTTGTCCCTAAGTTTCCCAACTCTTAGAAATAAAGAATCGAAGTAATTGAAACCCTTAAGCATACACTTATATTATCCGAGACGCATTGTTAGCACAAATTAGTATAACAATCGATCAATTAATTAAATTGATCTTCGTGACATATAACCCCGTGACGTAACTACCGAATCAGCCTCAGATCTACCAATTTCTTACCTGTGACGTAAGAATCTCAGATTGGATTAATTTACCGATCTCCGCAGCCATAACCCAGTGACATCACACGTGATACACGTGACGATCGTTAAGAATCTTAACGATCGTATCGAAGCTTCAATTTACCAAAACCTAAGTTTAACAAGAAGAACTATAGTTATCTCCCGGCCCAAGTTTATTACCCAACATTAGAAGCATAATTTGGGTTTATACTTATCTGAATCGCCAAATACGCCGCAGCAAGACCTGAAGAGCTTCGAGACTTGGACCAAGTCTCCCCTCACCTCTTTCTGCCTGCCAGTTCGAAGTCTTGTGGGCCTTTGGATTATAGTTTAGTTGATTGAGAGTTTAGTTTTAGTAGTTTTAGCTTTAAACGTATAAGTCACACTTTTTCAATTGGTGGTGATTGTGAGATTTGAACATCTCTAACCACTCCAAAATTTTTACCATCAGAACTTATTCTGCACCCTTAACCATATTAACATTTAAATAAGTGATCAGATATTTATAGTATGTCAGATTTGGGTCATTTCGAGAATGAAAATATCGAAGACCATTGAATTATCAATAATGATAGGCATAGCAACGATGACGATGAGCAAGCCCCTGCTCAACTCGCTCAAACTCACCGACTACTGAAAAAAATTGCTAAAGCCTTTCGAGATGTTGCAATGTATGATGTCCAGCCGAATCCACGTAAAAATAACTGGGTTCACATAAAGACCTTCAAGAGTGAAGAAGAAGAAGACCCTATAGAGTGGATCAAAGCATTCGAAAGAGCTGCTGATGTGAATAATTGGACCCCATTAAGAAAAATAAAAATCGCTTCAGGCCATTTATCCAGAATTGCAGCAAGTTGGTATCACGATAATAAAAATAGCCTCATCCTTTGGGACGACGATAGTGAAGAGAATAGAGAATTCAGTTTCGTCCCAGCATTCACTAATTACTTCGCCACCCCAGAGCGAAAACATCAGTGGCAGCTGGAGCTACATTCATTGAAGTAAAAAGAAACAGAAAAAGTGGACTGCTATGCCTACCAATTTAAAAGGCTACTTAAACGAGTAGACCCTGATAAAGAAATTTCTGCCGCATATGTCGTAAGAATGTTCCTAGGAGGCTTGTGTGGAAAATCGCCACATTAATGTTAACAGACGACCCCGAGACCTTGGAAGAAGCAATTGCCAAAGCCCGAAGAATAGAAATTGGAGGTTATTATGAATAGAAAAAAACTAAAGAATCTAGCAGTCAAATTATAGAAGATTTAACCCAAAAAATGCAGCAAATGGTGACGAATTGGTGACTGCCCTTGCTGTTTGAACTGAACCAGGTCCTCAGCCACCCACGAATAGGCCTTATCCATTTCGACAACCAAGAAATGGTGGTACCGGGTGTTATAGTTGTAGTAAAAGGGGCCACATCGCCCGAAATTGCCTGTCTGAAGACAAAACCCTAGAAGGCCCATGGTAAGCACAAATAGGAGCCAAGCACGTCCAAGAAATATCAATTTATATGATATTCATGTAAGTGATACCGAAGAGGCATACATGATTAAACATAGAGAAAGACCTGAAACCGAGACAAATTAAGACGAAAGGCTTCAAAAAAGGGTCGTAACCAACAAAATTACCCAACACAAAAAATTTAACCAATTCTCATAGAAGAAGACATACAAACCCCAATTCAGCCTCAAGCAGAAGCTGACAATAGAATTAGACAAAGAAGAGTACCATCAACCATCAATCTACTACCACCATATAATATTGCTGATGATCTATTAAATCAGCGGGCCAACGCTACATATGGTCAGTTATTACAAGTTTCCAAACAAAGGCAGAATTTGTCCCAAGTACTATGACGCCCCATAGTCTCAATAGTAGAAGCCACTAACTTCGTGGACAATCAATCAAGCAAGAGGACAACAGCGGCCAAGTGCTAAATTAGAATTCAAAATAACCCAATACTAGCTGTACTAGACTCGGGAGCCGCAGTCAGCATTATGTCCATCAAACTAGCAAAAAAACTGAAACTTACTATAGCTAAGCCTTCCAATACTGTCGTTATTACTGCCAAAGTCCGAGCCCGCCTTCATTTTGATGAGAAAAAGTTATTCTTGAGGTATTTAGGTAGATGTATTGAAGTATCTATCTACCAAGCCAAAGAAGAAAAATTGTGTCTCCACAAGACGATAATAATGACTTCTTCGACCAATACGAGGAAGAGCAAGACCTAGAAGAGGCAGAAGTTATTATACAGATGATTCCGTAGCAGAAAAAGAAATAATAACTACTAGCTGTGGAGAAGAAAATAGCCCCGCAATATACTTAATATCAATAGAGAAGCTCCCAACCCCAGAAGAGGAGAAACCAACCAAACAAAACCCTAAAGAAATCATTGAACAATTGATACAAGCAAGAAATATAACTAAAGAACAAAAGGAAGAAACAATATATATATTAGAAATGTTTCAAGACCTTTTTGCCTCCGGATTACACCAATTGGTCAGTACCACAAAGTAAAACATGAAATCAATACCGGCGAAGCCCGGCCAATCAAGCAATCAGCCTATAGGATCACCCCAGATGAACAAGACTTTCTAAATAAAAAAATCAAGAAATTATTAGATAATAGGCTAATATATGAAGTCAAAAGTCCTTGGGCCTTGCCTGTGATAATAGTTCTGAAAAAAGAATGGCATGCTTAGGCTGTGTATCGATTACTAAAAATTAAATGCTGTGACGAAAAAGGATGTGTTCCCTTTACTCTGCATTGATGACTTACTAGAAATCTTCAGAAAAGCAGAATGGTTTTCTTCCCTAGACCTAGCCAGCGGATACTGGCAAATTGGTATGAAAGAAGAAGACTGCAAGAAAACTGCATTTGTTATTAAACAGGGTACCTATATATTCAAAGTAATGCCCTTCAGTTTATGCAATACCCCAGCAACCTTTCAAAGAGTAATGAACTATGTACTTGACAAGAATATTGGAAAAAACATCGCAGTATATTTAGACGACATAATAATATACTCCAAGACATTACAAAAACACTTGACCCACCTTAAGGATGTCCTCAAAAAGTTAACTACAACTTGGCTAAAACTTAACTCTGACAAATGCGAGTTACTGAAAAATAACATTAATTTCCTAGGCCATACTGTAGGAAAAGAAGGCATTAAGCTTGATGAATCGAAAGTGGCCAAGGTCAAAAATTTTCCCACACCAGCCAACTTGAGGCAGTTGAGAGGCTTTATAGGCCTTGCCTCCTACTACTGCCGATTTATAAAAGGCTTCACAACAACAACAAAACCACTACACAAATTATTGGAAAAAACCACCCTCTATGAATGGGGCCAGGAGCAAGAAGAAGCATTTCAAGTTTTAAAAACGCATCTCACCACTGCCCCAGTTCTAAGATACCCTGATTTTGAAAAACTATTCTACTTACACACAGGCGCGTCTAGAGTGGGCCTAGGAGCAGTACTTGCACAAAAGGACAAAAATGGAAAAGAATATGCTATTGCATATGCCAGTAAGAGCCTCACATGACCTGAAAGAAACTACTCGGCTACAGAGTTAGAATGCTACGCTGTAATCTGGGCCGTAGAGTATTTTCATTACTATCTAGAGTACAAGCCTTTTTATATTGTAATGGACCACTCAGCCCTAAAATAGTTGCAAACATCTGCTCTTAAGGGCCAAAGAGCTCGATGGATCTTACGTCTCCAACTCTACTACTTCTATATCATTCATCGTGCAGGAAGGTCCACAACAATGCAGACGCATTATCAAGGATAGTGGAAGAGTTACCTCGGACAAAGAATATTACAATTGAGACTATCAGCCATAATCAAAAAGCAGCTAATATGAAGAATGCTGAGAAAGATCAAAAACAACATACACAAATACACAAAGAAGAAGACATAGAAATCAAAGTTTTTAGGACAATAGCCAAGAATATTTCTATGAAGATTCTAATGAAGAAGTAGAAGAAATACCCTGGGCCAGTAACAATGAGTGGAACGTATGGGATGAAGAAGAAGAAGTCCTCACCACCTATTTAGAGCAAGCAAGGTTCCACAAAACTTTATTACAACAACTCATCTAAGATTTTGGTCAGGAAATTACTTGAGATAACCAAACAGCGCACTATATAGAAGTAGAATATGATAGTGGCTATAAATCGGGCCAGAACCAATGGATATTGACGAAGTCTACCTAATTGATATACCCAGATGGGGAGAGTTAACTCAAGGCCTCGAGCTTGAAGAAAAACATAGCATTAACCCTGACTTGGATCAAAGCTAGCGAGAAAATAACAACGATTTATTCTCGGGATTTCCAGACATGGACCTCGATTCGGAAGAATGGTCTCAATCAATGGATGAATATATCAATTGGGAATACTATGATTCCTTATAAATATTCATCCTACAAAGAATAGAATCAAGTGCCAGTAGTACTCCAACCTGAAAAAGATACAAATTATCCCAAAAAGGGAACATTACATAGGAAAATATCAGACACTTTTTATATTTGTGTATATAAGAAAAAAAAAAAAATGTTAAAAATATATAAAAAAAAATGTTAAAAATACATAAAAAAAAAAAAAACAAACAAACAAACATACTGCTATTTATACTTAAATTAGCTTCTATTTCTATAGTTATAGTTATTTTTTTAGTTAACAAACACAGACCTGATATTAGAAAGAGGTTGGTCAGGATGGGATAGGGCAAGCTGTGGGCCCTATTCGAAGAAAAGCTATTATCTATACTCCGGGACATCTAAATTCTACAAGAAGAAAATTTATATAAAGAAGTTAGGCCCATATAAAAGAAGTTTCGAATACACCGGTAAAACTACCTGGAAATACTTACTATCTATTTCCTGGAAACATCAAAGCCTATTATTATGAAAATAGCTACTACTCGAACAAATTGCGTCTTATTAAGGAAAAAGAAACACTTGAGGAACTATCAACTTTAGCAAAAAGAAAGAAAAACACGATCAGTTATTTACATATTGTTCTATATCGAAATACAATTTCAACACTGCCTAGATTGAACAAATCTCACAAAGAAATCCTAACATATCGATTGACAGATTAGTAATAACGTGTATATTGCTATCAAAACGGAATTGGGGTCGAAAAAGACTGAACATTGACGAAATTACTCCAAGCTAAAATCGAGAAATACGAGAAAGACAAGAAATTAGGGCATCAATAATTGAACAACGAAAGCATAGCACAAATTGATCTAGAAAATTAAGAAACAATGGAGTCAGGAATTACACCACTCAGTGTAGTGAGAAAAACTACTAGAAGAAAGTATCTAAACCCCACAGGCTTTTCAAGAAAATACTTAAAGCAGCTTGGACCAAAAAGAGACTATTTGATCAAAGTAAAAACTGAAAAGAAACAAACAATAGAACGAAACCATAACTGCTACTAAGAAAATCCCGAATTTGAAAATTGTACTTTTAATTATGGGAAGTTTAGTCTACTGAAAATATCATAAGATCAAAAGAGAATTACCTGATAATCCAAAAACACAAAAAAAAACCCTCCGACATTAAGCTCAATCCAGTTTAGGTCATCGGTATCCTGGCAAAATTTAGAAAAGAACAAAAGTAATACAACTGAGATTAAAAATTTAAAATGGACCCACAGCAATACATAGCATTGAAGACTTATCTTCAACACCAGCAGTACCCACGAAGCGCAACGAAAGCAATTAGTAAAGCAAAGTCGCTTTTTCCTAGTCAAAAATGGGATAGTCTACAAGAAAAATAAGAAGATTCCAAAGAAACTGATAAAAGTGTTGCAAGAAGGGGAATTAGAGACCATATTGACCTTAGCCCACAATCATTCCTTAGGCGCTCATTTCGGCAAGAATATAATATTTAATAAGATCTGTAAATATTATTATTGACTACAAATATACAATGACATACTTGAGTATGTCATGACCTGCGAAAGTTGTCAGAAGTATGGAGATAAAAGATCAAAAGAAACACTACATCCAATTCCCATCCAAGCCCCATTCCACAGAGTAAGAATAGATATAGTCAGGCCATTGCCTACTACACTATGATTAAACAAATATATTGTAGTAGCAACCGACTATACGTCTAAATAGCCAGAAGCCCGTGCAATTCCGAAAGCAAATGCGAAAGAAGTGGCAAAGTTTATCTACAAAGATATCGTATGCAAACACAGATGTCCAAGCATAATATTGTCAGATCAAGAATCGCACTTCAACAATCATGTAGTAGATAAGCTTTTAGCAGCTTTAAGCACCAAGCACCACCTCTCTATGCTGTATCACCCACAAACAAATGGCCTCATTGAACGCTTTAACAAGACTTTGTGTAAGTCAATAGCAAGATTAGTAACGAATGTTACTGATTGGGATCTCTTGATACTATCTATCCTTTTCACCTACCGTACTGCAAAACAAGCCACGACCCAAGAAATGCTGTTTTACCTGATCTATAGGCGAAAAGCCCAGTGCCCTTGCATCCTAGTATATCCGAGGATTTATTACATGATACGATTATCCAACGGTTATACGAAATTGAACATAATCTACCTGAAGCCCATGACATAGCGCTAAGCCAAATTAGTAACACATAACAAAAGCAGAAAGAGCATCACGATCGACAGCTCAAAGCCACTATAGATTTTGAGATCAGCGAGAAAGTCCTAGTACTGAATGCCAGGAAATTGGGAACACGCAGTCATAAAATAGAACCCAAATAGAAGAGACCATATTATATCTATAACAAACTTCCAAATGGCATGTATAAACTATGGGAACTAGGCGGAAAATTATTAGAAGTCCCTGTAAATAAGACACTATTAAAGTCCTATTATAAATAAAAAAAATTATAAATAAGGCCAAAAATTTCTTAGTAACAAGGCAGAATTCGTTAAGACAAAAAAATAATAATAAAGAAAAACAAACCAATAAAAAAAAAAAAAAGAAAGAACAATAGAAAATTTTAACTTTACCCAATGCATCTTATATGACTTATTCATGGTTCTTCCCCTTACGTTATGCCTATACCATGCCCTTTCTCTTTTGAGCAACCTAGCTACGTTCAAGCTACGGTTGCATATCAACATATGATTCAGGCCTTAGAAGCAAAAGATCGAATTGGGAGTCTAGCATATACTTTTTACCTAGGATCCGTCTTGGTCTCTATGGAAGGAGCCCTACCTTACGACCTACGCCAGCTAATTAGTAGGTATTACCAAGTAGCTGCCACAAGGCTATACTGTCTATTTGAATGCGATGGTGTAGAACAGCTACACCGAAGCGTCTATACCATCCTCAGCTTGGTTAGGCACCTAACACGTGCCCAATTTGAGTCGCTTTTGCTTGCAGCTTGAATTTTTTTTCTTCTTTCTTTCCTTCTCTTCCTTTTATTTATTATTATTATTATTATTATTATTATTATTTTTCTCTTTCTATATTCATATAAATATATACGTATTTTTTTTTTTTTTCTTCTCTCCTTATATTCTAAAAAAAAAAAAAAAAAAAAAAACCCCAACAAACACTTTGCTAATAACCTTGCCCGCCTATTCACCACTGTACTAATAATCTGGAATAAATTAACGAACCTGAGCCAAGCCTGGCTATATACCTGCACACCATAACCTAAGCAAACTCAATACTTAGGCCCTATATATACATAAAATTCAAAAAAAAAAAAAACTATATAAAGTGGGTAAAAAACCTGCAGAGCCACCGAAAAACAATGTCGAACGAGAAGGATCTAATCCTCCAAGACCTGTTGACCCTTAATCTGCTGATAGTCATTGCTGAACCCCATCCATACCACGAAAATCAAGACCTTATAACTCAAATAAATTTGATTTATGATCAACTTAACGAAGCAAAGACCTGAGGAGACCTCATAGGTGTTCTTGTCCACGCCTACTATATGGGAGAAAGGCTCAGCACCATGAGCCTGGCCAACAAAGTCTTGTTACAATGAACCAGGCTCTCCGCCTACTATATGCTGGTTGCCAAAAGAACTTACTATCTGTTCAGACCCTTAGGGGTTGAGTAGCTTTATCGGACCAAAAATACTACTCTCACTAAAATAAAGAAGCTTACCATCGCCAAATATAATGAATTATTGCAGCTTACCCCATGGAACGGGTTCTCTCTGGAGAGAGAGAATTGTGAGAGGTGAAGTGGATCTCACTAGCTCTATTTCTAGGTTATAGACAGTAATAGTCACAAATTATTGGCTTAAGTAGTACAAATTGCTAAGAATTCTGGTTATCTGGTAGATATTAGGAATTCCACTGGATAATAAAAATAAGTTGTTATTCTCATTATCTATTAGATAGCAAAAATAACATAGCATTCAAAGAATTCTTCTATATGTAAAAACAATTATATAAGGAGTGCTATTTCTTTCAATAAAAAAACAACTCTACGGAGGTTTAAAATTCTAAATCCAATAACTTCGAAGCAATTACAGTAGAACCTTTGTCACTGTCCCAGTATTGTAAATTAAACCATTACTTCGTAGTATAGTAGAGTCTAACCTTTGAAATCCGAGTAGATACGTTAACTCTAAGTTCTTTAAGAATAAAAACCTTGTCCCTAAGTTTTTCAACTCTTGGAAATAAAGAATCAAAGTAATTGAAACCCTTAAGTATACACTTATATTACCCAAGACACATTGTTAGCACAAATTAGTATAACAATCGATCAATTAATTAAATTGATCTTTGTGACATAATAACCCCGTGACATAACTACCGGAATAGTAAAATCAGCCTCAGATCTACCAATTTCTTACCCATGACGTAAGAATCTCAGATTGGATTAATTTACCAATCTCCGCAGCTATAACCCAGTGACATCACACATGATACACATGACGATCATTAAGAATCTTAACGATCGTTAGAGTGTCCAGGATTATGCGGTGCAATAAGGTAGATTATGCGATGCGATTGAGGTCAATTATGCGATGGATGCGAAATAAATTTAAAATTATGCAAAATAATTAAATAGAGGATGCAATTTTAAAAAGAGGATGCAATTTTTAAAACTTCTCTGAAGAGATTATTTATTTATTGAAATTTAAAAAATTCAACATTCTAATTGAATTTTCTAACAATGCATATCGATTATCTGCTAAAATTCGCTTATAAGCCGAAAAGCTACATTCAACATCTACTCCTGAAACCAGTAACCAAATATATACTAATGCAATTTTGCTAATATTTGGTAACAAAATCATCTCATGCCAATAATTATCCAAATCAAAACTTTCACTAAATGTTTCTGATAATCCCAAATAAATTGCCCATTCACTAATAAGATCATTTAATGGATTTTCCAATTTCTTAATTGACTTATATAATGTAATATTGTGTTGGTCAATTTGTGCTTGCATATAACAGGAATCAAAACAACGAATTGCTTTAAAAATTTGAAGTGTAGAATGATTATTAACATGCTTATTAAATTTCTCATATGCTAATTGAAAAACTTCCTTAAAAATTGCATTGTATGATAATATATCATATTGGTATGTTCGGCAAAGATCTTCCATTTCATTGAATTTCGGAGGTGCTTGACGACCCGAATTTAGATGAGCGCATACTTGCTCTAACCTGTCTGCAACAAATGGTGCCACTGGTTTATTCCGAATCTTGAAGAATTCAAGACTACTAATCAACCTATATATTAGTGTTCCTATTGAACCTAGGTTCAAAGTTCATGAACATGTTCAAAGTTTTGAATAAAGAAAAAAGCAT